CACACACTCCTACATTTACTCACAATACACACATTCACACACGAAAACACATAAACATACACACACATAAAAAATAAAATCACACATACAAACACACACACACGCATACACAGGCATACATACACATATACATATAAATACATATACGTAGAGAGTTACAAAGGCAAACATTCAAGAACACGCACACATACATACAAAAACACGCACATATACAGGAAGACATACACTCACACATACACACACAGAGAAAGAGAGAGAGAGAGAAAGAGAGAGATACATATAACACAAAACATGCAGACATACAATCATATATAATACTTTTTGAAAGTTTATCGTACGAATATTATCCTTAAAAGTTTTACAAAAATAATTACTCTTACTACAACTAAAACTGATGGTGATAATTATGTTATTACTAGTACTTATTATAAATATGATTAAATAATTATTGTAATAATTATAAATATTTATGTTATAAATGATGCCAGTAACAGGCGAGATGGATAACCTGTGCTTCGAGAGGTTGAACTCTCAGTTAAACAGCAACAGTAGCATTGCCAACGGTAACAACAACAACATCAGCAAACACTTTAATGACGTAATTAAAAACTATAGCAACTGCATTAACAACAATAACGATTATGACGTCATCAACAACAACAACAACAACAACGATGACGTAATTAACGACGAAATTTATGACAATTTAAATGACTATAAAACTGAGAATGACGTCAACAATGATTGTATTGAAATGAACCGAAAGAACAACGTTAATAGGGCACATATTTCCTCCACAACTCCCAACATCAACAACAACGGCATTAACAGCAGCAACAGCAGCAGCTACAGCAGCCACAGCGTCAACAGCAGCAGTAAAACCACAGTTTCTAGCAGCAACTGCACCAACGACACGATCTCAAAAGCAGTTAGCGATGTCTTGAACGGCTACGACTGGTCATCTTTGACGGCCTCGGCTAAAAATATCTTCGACAGCAATAGCGAAAACCTGGCGAGTCGAAAGCGCAACCACATTAAACGGCCGATGAACGCGTTCATGGTGTGGGCCCAGGCAGCTAGGAAGCGTCTAGCCGACCAGCATCCCCAGCTGCATAACGCCGAACTGAGCAAGACGCTGGGAAAGCTGTGGAAGTGAGTTAGATAGATAGGTAGCTAAAATAGATAGAAAGATAGATAGTCAGATAGATAGTAAAATAGATAGTTAGATAGATAGGTAGCTTAGAAAGATAGATAGTCAGATAAATAGTAAAATAGATAGTTAGATAGATAGGTAGCTAAGATAGATAGAAAGATAGATAGTAAAATAGATAGTTAGATAGATAGGTAGCTAAGATAGATAGAAATATAGATAGATAGGGAGGTAGATAGTTAAACAGATAGAAAGACAGGTAGATAGGTAGACACAATCATTGGTACCTCGCGTAACAATTGAAATGATGTGCAGTCAGTTGCCATACGTTTCTTGCTGTGTGGTCTCAAAATAATGGTTTGGATTATTTATTAGCGTATTAGTTTATCTAATACTTTAAAGATGATTGATTGATCAGTTGATTGATTGTTTGATTGATTGGTTATAATAGTTGGTTGATTGATTTCATTGGTTTATTGATTGACAACCGACTGGATGATTGAATGTTTGTTTTATAAAACATTAAAATATATGAAGTTAGCTCAGTCGGTTGAAGTGCCATTCTTCGCGTTTTTATAGCGCAATGACCTAGTTCGAATACTCCCTATCCGAAACTCAAAGACAACAACTTGAATGATATGTAAGCATTTTTATAGCGCAGTGACCTAGTTCGAATACTCCCTATCCGAAACTCAAAGACAACAACTTGAATGATATGTAAGCATTTTTATAGCGCAATGACCTAGTTCGAATACTCCCTATCCGAAACTCAAAGACAACAACTTGAATGATATGTAAGCATTTTCTCATAGATCAGAATTGCTTGATCGCTTGATGACTGTATATTGGAGCCCGTATAAGTACATGAAATTAAAAACATGATGGATCTTGGAATTAAACTTTTTCGAGAATATTTTTAAAGACTTCAGGTCAGTGAGTGCATGCAAGAGACATTAGAATAAATGTACGCAATGTCTGGCGATAATGTTTTGGCAGACTGTAGCGTGGAGAGCTGGTTCGAATGCAAGGAGGGAAAGTTTTGAGATTCAGCAAAAAGTAAATGAGTGATGAACTTTCAATACAATTTTTATGTTAATGTAGTCAAAGTCTTCCATGATGTTAGCACAAAGCAGCAAATGGATCGGTTGAACTGATTGCTTGCAAAAAGAAACAAATGAATAATTGAACCAGAGGATGAATGAAAACATGAATTATTGAAGAAATGAATGGACGAAAAGCATAAGTGATGGATGGACAAAGTAGCGAACGAACAAACGAACGAATGANAACATACAACTTGAATGATTAAATCAACAAACAAGCGAACTATCAAACAATAAACGAACGAAT